GACGGTAAACTTCGGTTGCCTCCTCGGTGCCAATCGTGGGTGCCCCTCATGCTCCCCCATTTGTCTCCTCTTGGCGGTCGATGTTTTTTCCTGGGTCGCCATGCATGGCGTTGCTCTGCCGTGCCCATTCCATGAGTTGTGCCCGTCCTTCGGCCTGTAGCTCGGTGTAATGCGCCTGCTGCTCGCAAGTGCTCATGTCGGTGAGTACTCTGCGTTGGTGGTGCTCCTGCTGTTGCGCATGCTCGGCGCCATTGATTCCGACGAGACGCTCCACGTTGGTAGCTCGTTGTTTGTATTTCCTTGCGCATGCTGGATGGAGGCTTACATGTGCATCTCATCTTGTTTGACTCGTTTATGTGCCAGTATGCTCCTTTTCTCCGCGTCGCCCCAGAAGCTGTACAGCAGGAGGTGGTCGTTGTGGTCCGTGGTGCGCATATCTGCCGCATTTGCTTACATGTGGGCGATCTGCTGCTCGGCCCTCATGGTAATGTTGTAATACTTTTTGTCTTGTGTCCGCAATCACTGACGTCTTTCTTAACTGCTGCTCCATGTTGGCACGGTCGTTGTTGCTGCCGAGGAGCTCTTCTGTGTGTCTTGGAATTCTTTTTGTTAAACCTTTCAATCGATGGTGCACGTTGGATGTGGTCGCTGGTGTTGGCCTTCCGGAGGGCCTCCTCCAGCTACTCCTGTCCTTTCGGGCGCCACTTTCTTTCGCGTCTGCATGTTCTCGTGATGCGACGTCATCTTCTCGGTTGTCTGCTTGGCGCTCAGCATCTCTCTCAGGAACTCGCCGTGGTAACCTTGTATCCTGGTTGCTTCTGAATGCCGGCCACGCTGATGTTATTCAAATCCTGGGTCTCGTTTTTGGCGTCGGCCTTGTTCTTTTTGATATCATGGGCCATGAGTTGGTTGTCCTCCTTGAGATTCCTGCGCAAAGTGCCGACATCTTGACTTTCCTTAGTCTCCCCGGCCCTTGTCTGTCTCTTTGGCGCTGGGGTGGCGGTCATTTTTTGTGGTGCCTCGCGTTGTGGTTTGTCGGCCTCGTCGTCGGCAGCCTCGTTGTCGCCGTATCGGTCCTCCTTGGCGTTGCTGATGCCCCGCTGGGGAATGGTGAGTTCCTCGATCTAATGATCTAGCTCGCTCATGTAGACATGCTTTTTTGGGAAGTGGTTCTTAATGTGCCCGTAGTCGTCCTCCATGGGCTGCATCGTTGTCTCTATCTCCCTCGTCTGTTGGGCCGAAAACAAACTGTTGCTGATCATGGCCTTGGTGGAGGCGATCTGTTCCACAGTGTCTGTTGTAGGTAGTCCTGCTGCGCTGTTTCTGGCGATGACCGTTGCGGCCCGCCTCATTTCGATGTGCTTGATATTCTTCCAGTCGTCCCTCAGCTTGGGGTCGTTGGGCGGTAGCTCCCAATCGTGCCTCCTGGTAGCGTAGACCCTCCTCATGGGCATGACGTTGCTGATGATGTTGGCAATGTGGTCGTTATAATTATGAGAGAGAGAGAGAGAGAGAGAGAGCTTGACCCACCGCACCTTTACTGTGGTCCCCCCCCCCTCTTCCTCCAGAGCCCAGAAGACCCCCCCCCTCCGAAAATCCCCCCCCCCCCCTGCTCGAACCCCCCCGTCTCCACCAGTCCCACTGTCCCCACTGTCCCCACCACTGTTCCGCTGTCCCCCCACCACTATCCCGACCACCACCGTCCCCACCACTGTCCCACTGTGCCCGCCACTGTCCAACTGTCCCCACACCACTGTTCCCACCACCACCGTCCCCACAACTGTCCCAATGTCCCCACCACTGTCCCACTGTCCCGAGGAGCGGGAATCGTTTGCCGGCGGCGAGGGGGGGGGGTTCGAACCAGTAGTGACCCCCTCTCCCTTTTCATGATGGACTGGGGATGGGAGGGGGGGTGTCGAACTGGTAGTGAAAGTCCCCCGGTTTTTGAAGGGGTGGGGGGTTGGGAACCCCCAGTGACCCCCCTGGTTTTCCGCCAGCAGCGGTAGAACACGCTCTTTCAGTTGAGTGTCCTCTTCTTTTCTTTCGGATTTTCTCCATCAGGTTGATGCTTTCTTTGTCTTGCCCTTGCCCTTGTTGAAATTGTCCTCGCCTTTCAGGGTCCAAATGTCGGACTCAATGTCGTCTTTCGCTGTCTATCCCTTGCCGTTGTACTTGTTGCCCTTGCCGTTGTGGCTGTAGTTGTTATGATTGTGGCTGAAGCCCCAATTCTTGTCGGTGTGATCCTTGGCCCACTGGTTCGTCCAATTGTATGTTTTACAACGTGCGAGGCCCACTCCAATTGCCAGTGTGGTGGGTCTCGGCGTAGTTGGTCTGCTTCGTGGGCGGTTCGATGTTGTCCTCCAAGTTGGCTGCGCCGTTCCCGACACGTTCGCAGTTGCCCTCCATGTCGTCGCCATGGTTGGAACTTGAAGTGGATGTCGTGGTGGCTGCCGGGCGCTGTGGTGCGCTTGAAGTAAAAGCTGTGCCTTGTGAAGCCGAAGTAGTAACAACACGATGTCGGTGCAGCTGCCTGTGCCAAGCGGGTCTGCGGGACCTCTGGTCCCGTGAGGTCGTGGCCGCGGATACGGTAGTTGTCGCAGCCACTGTCGGTCGCGATGAGAGCTGGAGCTGTTATCGCGGGCCTGATGGGCCTGTGATGGCCGCGGTGGCCGCTGCTCTCGGGCCCCCTGCGGGGCAGATGGGGGCGGGATCTTCCTCCTCCTCCTCCTCCTCCTTATCCTCCTCCTCGTCCTCCTCCTCCTTCTCCTCCTCGTCCTCCTCCTCCTTCTCCTTCTCCTCCTCCTCCTCCTCCTCCTCCTCCTCCTCCCTCCTCCTCCTCCTCCTCCTCCTTCCTCCTCCTCCTCCTCCTCCTCTCCTCCTGCACCTCCTCCTCCTCCTCCTCCTCCTCCTCCTCCTCCTCCCTACCGCGCGGACGAAGACGAGGTCGGGATCACGACCCGTCCCAATGCAGACTACTCGTCGGAATTGCGCTGGTCCTAATTACACTCAGCCTATTTCCTGCTGCGCTGTTGCACAGGCGCGGTGGCGGGGTTTGTCGCAGGCAGCTGGATGCACGATAAAGATGCCAGGGCTTTGAAAGATCATGCCGACACTTTCCGAACGGGGCGCGGGCAGCGGAAATTGCCATGGATGGGCCGAAAGGGAAGGATGTAAAAGCAACCTTGGAAAATTGCTCATTCTTATTATTTGCGTTGACTGTGAAAATGGGGGTCAACAATTCAGCTCATGTAGCTGATTTTCCCGGCACCGGAGTCGCCAATGCGTCGAGGAGAGCGCCCGTCGGCAGGGCCGACCCGACTGTTGCAGCTTCTTTGGGCCCAGCATCCATGGCGTCCCTCTGTGGCCGAGATAGAATGCAGAAGAACCACCCTCGTGATAAGCACTCTGACAAGCGACCAGGACATGGCTCTTTGGTAAACGGCCAGGACTGTTTGGTAAACGATAGTTGCGGCAGGCTCGCGGCGTGTCGACCCCAGCATTGGTGTTATGGGGGTCGGGGTGGCTTTTCGGGGGCGGCCAAAGGGGGGGCGTGCAAGAGGGGGGGCGCAGTCATGGCCGGCGGCATGTGCGCGGCCCAGGGTGGTGCTGGGGACGCATTGAAGCAAGAAGAGGCGCCATGACGACTGGGGAAATATCCATGAAATCTGGGGAGATATCATGGCCCCCGCTATGACATCCACCCCGCCTAGTCATCAACCCTCTCTTGGCCGCCCCCGAGCTTGTCCTCCTTCGGCGAGAACGCCGCGGCGCCGTGCGCACGCGCAGCGCGCCGCCCCCCAAAGGGAGAAAAGGAGAACGAGGAAGGGGGGGGGGAGGAACGAGGACCGCGAAGCGCGAATAACTTCACGCCCTCGTGGGAGCCCTTGTCCGAGGCCCCAGGGGCGGCGGCGGGGCCAAGGACCGTACAGGAGAACAGCGAGCGGAGGTCCTCGCGCACGCCTCCAGATCCGACGTACCTTGGCCCGAGTGGCCAGGCGCAGAGGGGCTGGAAGTGGCGGCAGACGCTCGTCCTTCGAGGAAAGCGAGGCTGCTGGCAACTTGGGGCGCGGAGGGCAAGGTGGGTCGCAGGAGCAGAGACTGCGGAGGACGGAGGGGCACAAGGGAGATAGGAGCATAAGAAGAGAGAGAGAGAGAAAGCTACTATTGGTCGGTCCCTTGGGACTATCTACGATAGCTTGCTCAAGTGGTAAATGGCTTGAACTGATCTGTGCGATTGGCAGACAGTGACTAAGAAATCCCACTAACCCTCTGGGAATGAGTGGTCAAACGAGCGTGTTCTTCCTCTTCCGGGGAAAATTATCTCCCTCCCCCAAACCCCCTCCCCCTGGGACTGAAGGGGGGCGCTCCGCGAGGGATTGGATCGTCCAAGATGACCCAAGGTTGCTTCAAGAGGGCCCCAGAGAGCCCAAGATGGCCCCTACGATCGCTCAAGACAGCACACGATGGTTCAAGATAGCTTTCAATATGCCTACAGGAGCCTTTGAGATCGCCCCAGGACGACTTCGAGTGCCCTCCGAGCCTCCCAAGAAGGCCCCTTATAGGCCAAACTCATTCTAAAGCCGAAGGAAGATGAATGATTTTCGCTTTCTCGCTAGATCGCTTCCGACGAGCTCTTGAGGACTCTAGATGGTTTCAAGTTGGCCCACGATGGTCCCAAGAGGGGCCCAAGACGGCCGCAACGGCGCCCAAAACCGCCCCAACAGGGCCCCAAGAGTGGCCCAAGAGGCTCTTCTGATAGCTCCAGCGGGAGGGGCTATTCAGGACCCCCACCCTCTAACCGAATATTTCCAAGATGGCCCCCCGAGTCTCCCAAGAGATGCCCAAGAGACCCCCAAGAGGGTCTCTAGAGGGGCCCAGGGCCCAGGAGACCCCCCAAAGCGTTGCAGGATCGCGACCAAGGCATCCAAAATGGCCCCAAGACGGCCGCATGCTGCCACACATCGCTGATCAGGGCAGCTCGCCTGCTGACTGTTTCGAGATGGGCTGGTGGGGATACGTGATTCGTTCAACATGTGTCTTTTGTCGCTGGACTGTCGTGAAGCCGCGGTGCACGCGCAAACCCGAATGGGACCAATGAACATGATATAGGAAGAAGAGAGGAACAAGCTGGACAAAGTGGCAATGTGTATCAGGAGTCGCACGGCACGGTGACGAAGCACTACCCCCCGCAGGGGTCGGATGCGTCTGAGTTCTGCACCGTCTTATGGATGCTTTGTTTGACACCTCGTGCCCATCAGTGCACCCTGCTTTGCTACAACGAGCTGTGCCCGAAACTCTCGCAAAAGTGCCGCGGTATTGCTGCTCTCATTATCTCCCAATACTGCTATGAGAGCATGTCTCCGAGTACGTGTGTAAGAAGATCTTTGGCACCACCCTGAAAGAAACATGCGGGTATTATGCTGTCTAGTGGCAACTTGTTGTCATGACAATCGCGCGCGATGGTCATGCAACTTCGATGAACGTTCAATGATGCAAATCATGCTGAACACGAGACCTGGTGGCATGTGAAAAACGAGAAATGTTTGTCTCAATGTTTCTTGAATCGCGTGGCGGGATAACTGTTTCTTCCGCCAAGGCGTCGCTGGTTTGTTACACTGGGTGTGGTTACTATTCGACATCGCCCGCCCAGTCGGGGGAGCCGCTTCAGCTCCTTCTTGTACCCGCGACGGGCAGGAGTGTTCGTGTAGTAGGATTGCCTTCGGGCCTTCTCTGGCGCGCTGGTTGCGATACTATTATTATGCGTCCAGTGTGCCCGTATGTTTGTCGCGCAGTTGTTGGATATTCTCGCGTCCTCGTGGCCGCTGTTCCTGCAGGGTATCCTTCTGGCTCTGCCCGAAGTTCCCTCTGCTGTGCGTCGGCACGGTATTCGCTGCTTTTCCTCTGCCCTTGTCGTGCAAGTAGCATGCTTCAGCTGTAGCAACATATCCGAGGAGCCCGTGTCGTTTTCCTGGCCCCCGTCGCTCTTGATATGAACGCTGGACGTCGTCCCTGCGGCCTTTGGCGGGTTCGGTTCGCGCGGTTTCTCGCGAAGTGGTATTTGCGTTCACAGTGCCGGCGCTCAAGGCCGTGCGATGGATTTTCAGCGCTCGAACTCGCTCGTGCCTGCGTTGGATCTGCCCCGCCCAGGGCAGACGCAATCTGCGCTGGGCCATCTCGTGCTTCGCCGAAGAAGCCCTATCAGCCCTCTGACCCTTTTGTGCGAAAAGGAGTTCCAGGAGCTTCCTCTTTCAACCTCCTCCTTTCCCTTCGCGGAAAGGTTCACCCCTCGAGTCTGGCATGGGGGGCGGGGCGACGTGTCCGAGAGTCCTGTTTCCCCAGTATGGCTCCAAGCAAGCCTCGGAAATCCCTCCACGATGGCTCAACATGGCCCAGGATGTCTCAAAATGATGCCCAACATGCCTGCAATAATTTGCCACAAAACGGCCCAAGTAGCCGCGAAGCATCTGATAGAGACCCCGAGGGGCCGAACTGATTCAACGACCCAAAATGCTTCAACTATTAATGCCGCCTTCTCGCCCAAGATGGCCCCAATATCGCCCGCGGAAGCCCCCAGAAGGGCCCAAAGGAGGGCCAAAACAAAACAACCCCACGATTCGATCTTTTAGGCTCCAAGATGGCAGCGGAAATCCGCCACCGTGACCCTGTGGCACGAAATGGGGTGTCCCCATGCAGGTCCCTCGATCAACCCTTGAGCCTCGGTCTTCAATTCGATTTTTCCCCAAACACCTTGCTGAACGGGGTGCTGTTGTGATAGAAGCTAACTCCGGCCGTGGGAATTCAAAGCAAAGACGTCCTCAAAAAAATTTGGTGGTCTGGGCCGTTTCGCCTGCATCCTCGCAACTCTCGTTTCTGAGTTGTCCGGGATTGGGCGTTTCGCGTGAGACATCCTCCAAACTCTGAGTTCCCAGAGTCCGCGCAAGAGGTGGTCCAGCCCGTTTCGCCAGAGACATCCTCAAAACTCTGAGCTCCCAGATGCCGCGCGAGAGGTGGTCCAGCCCGTTTCGCCTGAGACATCCTCCAAACTCTGAGCTCACAAATGCCGCGCGAGAGGTGGTCCGGCCCGTATCGCTTAAGACATCCTCCAAATTCTGAGCTCTGAGGTGCCGTGCGCGAGGTGGTCCGGCGCGTTTCGCCTGAGACATCCTCGCAACTCTGAGTTCTGAGATGCCGCGCAAGAGGTGGTCCAGCCCATTTCGCCTGAGACATCCTCGAAACTCTGGGCTCCAAGATGCCGCACAAGAGGTTGCCAGCCTGTTTCGCCTGAGACATCCTCCAAACTCTGAGCCCTGATATGCCGCGCGAGAGGTGGTCTGGCCCGTTTTGCCTGAGACATCCTCGCAACTCTGAGCCCCGAGATGCCGCCCAGGAGGTGGTCCAGCCCGTTTCACTTGAGACATCCTCGCACTTTTGCATTCCGAGATGCCGCGCGAGAGGTGGTCTGGCTCGTTTCGTCTGAGATGTCCTCGAAACTCTGAGTTCTGAGATGGCGCGCGCGAGGTGGTCCGGCCCGTTTCGCACAAGACATTCGCGCAACTCTGAGCTCCCAGATGCCGCGCAAGATGTGGTCCAGCCTTGGGCCCAGAAAACCACATGTAACATATGATGTCCCCTGGGAGCCCCAGGAGGCCCCAGAGAGCTTCAGGAGGCCGCAGGACGCCCAGGACAGGCCCCAGGGGTCCCCAGGAGATTCCCAGGAGGCTCCCAGGAGGCCCCAGGAGTCTCCCTATCAGAACGTGTCAAGTTAATACACATCCGGGTGTCGATTCGTTGATTTTTCCTGCTCTTGTCCCTTGAGCCCAGACGGCCACATGTTAGATATCCCCCCCTGGGAGCCCCAAGAGGCTTCAGGAAGCCGCAAGTGGGGTCCAGGAGGCCACAAGCGGACCAGGAGGAAGCCCCAGGAGGTCCCCAGGAGGCCCCAGGAGGCCCCAGGAAGCCCCCGCAACTCAGAGCTCTGAGACGCCGCGCTCGAGGTGGTCCGGCCCGTTTCGCCTGAGACTTCCTCGCAGCACGTCTCGCCCGAGACATCGTCGCAACTCTTGGGTCCGAGATGCCGCGCGCGAGGTGATCCACCCCGTTACGCTGGAGACATCCTCGCAACTCTAGGCTCCGAGATGCCGGTTCGGGATGAAGAGGAGGTGGAGGAGAGGGAGGAGGAGGAGGAGGAGGAGGAGGAGGAGGAGGAGGAGGAGGAGATGGAAGGGAGAATGAGGAGGAGGAGGATGATGTGGATGAGGGAGCAGGCAGGAGGATGGGGAGGAGGAGGAGGAGGAGGAGGGAGAAGGAAAGGAGTTGCAGGAGAGAACCTAACGGGAAGCGAGCGTGACGTGGACTTGTCAGAACGTGTGCTTCCAATACTGAAGTCCAAGATGTCGCTCGCGAGGTGGTCCGGCCCGTTTCGCTTGAGGCATCCTCACAATGCGAAACTCGAAGATGTTGCGCGCGAGATGGTCTGGCCCGTTCTGCCTGAGACATTTTCGTAGCACAGGGGCTCCAATCACAACCTCTCTCATTCCTTCTCCCGCCTCCCTCCTCCCGCTTCCCGCCTGGCTCCTCTTCCCTCCTCCCTCCTCCCGCTGCTGCGCCTCTGCCTCCGCCTTCCCGTCCCCGCCGTCGTCGTTTCTGCCGCCTCTACATCCGTTATGCGCGCCCTGCCTTCCGCCCTCCCCAGACATCCGACGTCACGATTTTTCTTTTGAGACGTGCGCCCGCGGACCTCTCGATATCATCCCCGGGACTGGTTCTTTGTCAGGTTTTTTTTCCCAACCCTCCTTGGTTGGGCATTCGTTTTGAATAGAGCAGTGTGGTCTCCACTCCCTCCTTCCTTCCTTCCCGCCTCCCTCTTGCCTCCTCCTGTCTTGCCTGCGGGGGGCTGCGATCTGTGAAACTGTCGCCACTTTCGAGGCCTGCTGGGGGGCCCAGCACAGTGACGCCACACGCAGATTCAAATTAGACCTCGCCATCCCTGGGGGGCTGCGATCTGTGAAACTGTCGCCACTTTCGAGGCCTGCTGGGGGGCCCAGCACAGTGACGCCACACGCGGATTCAAATTAGACCTCGCCATCCCTGGGGGGCTGCGATCTGTGAAACTGTCGCCACTTTCGAGGCCTGCTGGGGGGCCCAGCACAGTGACGCCACACGCAGATTCAAATTAGACCTCGCCATCCCTGGGGGGCTGCGATCTGTGAAACTGTCGCCACTTTCGAGGCCTGCTGGGGGGCCCAGCACAGTGACGCCACGACGCGGATTCAAATTAGACCTCGCCATCCCTGGGGGGCTGCGATCTGTGAAACTGTCGCCACTTTCGAGGCCTGCTGGGGGGCCCAGCACAGGACGCCACACGCAGATTCAAATTAGACCTCGCCATCCCTGGGGGGCCCAGCACAGTGACGCCACACGCAGATTCAAATTAGACCTCGCCATCCCTGGGGGGCTGCGATCTGTGAAACTGTCGCCACTTTCGAGGCCTGCTGGGGGGCCCAGCACAGTGACGCCACACGCAGATTCAAACTAGACCTCGCCATCCCTGGGGGGCTGCAATCTGTGAAACTGTCGCCACTTTCGAGGCCTGCTGGGGGGCCCAGCACAGTGACGCCACACGCAGATTCAAATTAGACCTCGCCATCCCTGGGGGGCTGCGATCTGTGAAACTGGCGCCACTTTCGAGGCCTGCTGGGGGGCCCAGCACAGTGGCGCCACGCGCGGATCCGAGTTAAACCTCGCCATCCCTGGTGGGCTCGGATCTGCGAAACTGTCGCCTCTTTCGAGGCCTGCTGGGGGGCCCTGCACAGTGACGCCACGCGCGATGACTGCCACCTTGGACGTTTTCCATGCGGCGCAAGGACACCAGGTGACCCACGAAGGGGTGGGTCACCAGAAAACCGGTTGAGAAAAACAAATTGCTTCACCTGCATCCTGGGCCTCGTCATGAGGCGACGCATTGCCACTCAATATGTTTGCCATACGGCGCAAGCACACCAGGTGACCCACGAAGGGGTGGGTCACCAGACAACTGGTTGAGAAAAACCACTTGTTTCACTTGCATTCTGGGCCTCAACATGAAGCGAAACATTGCCACCCAATACGTTTGCCATACGGCGCAAGCACACCGGGTGACCCACGACGGGGTGGGTCACCAGAAAACTGGTTGAGAAAAAACATGGTTTCACTTGCATTCTGGGCCTCAACATGAGGCGACGCACTGCCACTCAATGCGTTTTCGCTACGGCGCAAGCACACCAGGTGACCCACGAAGGGGTGGGTCACCAGACAACTGGTTGAGAAAACCAACCGTTTCACTTGCATTCTGGGCCTCAACATGCGGCGATGCATTGCCACTCAATGCGTTTTCCATACGGCGCAAGCACACCAGGTGACCCACGAAGGGGTGGGTCACCAGAAAACTGGTTGAGAAAAACCAACTATTTCACTTGCATTCTGGGCCTCAACATGAGGCGATGCATTGCCACTCAATACGTTTCCATGCGGCGCAAGCACACCAGGTGACCCACGAAAGGGCT